CGCGGGCCTGTCTGCGCAGCCTTCCTCGCCCCTGGGGAACTCAAAAGGCACCGATACCACTACTCCCGGGACCTCTCCTGGGGCTCTGACCAGAACTTCGAGGCGAATCCGACGGTGGCGACGAGGGCCTCCTGGGAGGCCCAGAGAAGGGGAAAGCGGGCGAGAGGTCGAGGTATGGGTACCCTTTTCTCCGCTGAGCCCCTCTTGGCGGCGCGCACAAAGGGGTGGAGGGAGGGGGGAGGGCTTCTTCTGCTTCTTAGAAGGCGGCGGCCTTGCATCTACAGATAAGGCCCGCGCCTTCTAAGAAGCAGAGGTGCTTCTAAGAAGCCCTCCCCCCTCCCCCCCACCCCCCTCTGCGCGTGGCTGACCCTCCCCGCCCGACCTGAGGGCAGCGGCTGACCCACGCGGAGAGCGCCCGGCGCGGCAGCATCTCGCACTTCGTCAGGCCCGCGCCGCTGGCCACCGCCCGCCACAGCATCTGCTCGGTGGGCAGCGTGCTGCCGGCCGTCGCCCTGGCGCGCCCCGGGCCCACCATGGGCCCTTCGGAGGCGCTCCTCGGCCTCCTCTCGTCCCTCCCTGCTCGTCCTCGTGCTGCTGCCTGCCCTCCGCCTCCTCCCCCCGTCCGCCTCCCCCGTCCTCCTCCTCCTCCTCCTCCTCCTCCCTCTCCTCCTCCTCCTCCTCCTCCTTCTCCTCCTATTCCTCCTCCTCCTCCTCCTCCTCCTCCTCCTCTTCATCCTCCCCTCCTCCTCCTCCGCCTCCCCTCCTCCTCCTCCTCTTCATCCTCCTCCTCCTCCTCCTCCTCCGCCTCCTCCTCCTCTTCCTCCTCCTCATCCTCCTCCTCCTCCTGCTACTCCTCCTCCTCCTCCTGCTACTCCGCCTTCTCAGACGGTCCAAGAGGCCTCCAAGACAGCCCAAAAGGGCTCCAAGAGGACTCTCAGCAGGGCCCGAAGATTTCAAATTCATAGATGTCCCACTGGTCTTGCGCGATCTTACACTTCCAGGCTCCGGCGAGACTGCCCAAGAGGCCTCCAATATGACCCCAAGACGGCCCAAAGAGCTCTCAAGAGCGCCCTCAGACGGCCCGAGGGAGCCTCTAAGACGCCCGCGAGGCCCCCGAGGACCCAAAGAGGCTCCGAGAGAGCAGCAGGGAAGAGAAGGAGGGGAGGAAGACGACGACACGACGAGCACGAGGAAGACGACGACGCGACGAGCACGACGAGCACGAGGAGGAAGACGACGACGACATGACGAGCACGACGACACGACGAGGAGGAAGACGACGAGGAGGAAGACGACGACACGACGAGCACGACGAGGAAGACGACGACACGACGAGCACGAGGAAGACGACGAGCACGACGAGGAAGACGACGGCACGACGAGCACGAGGGAGACGACGACACGACGAGCACAAGGAGCGTGCCGCATCAGACGCTTCTCCCAGGCCTCGGGGCACTAGGCGCCACACGCTGCAGCTCCCCGTGCTCCTCGAGCGGTCGACGCCGAGAGCGCTGGGCTGGCACGGTGGCGGGACGTGCCACAGGCAGCTCGTTCCTCCTCCCTCCCTCCTCCTCGTTCCTCCTCCCTCCCTCCTCCTCGTCCCCCCTCCTCCTCGTGCCTCCTCCTTTTCCTCCCTCGTCCCCCCCCTCCTCCTCGTTCCTCCTCCCTCCCTCCTCCTTTTATCCTCCTCCTCTTCCTCCTCCCTCGTGCTCCCCCTCGTCCCCCCGCCTTGGAGACTTTTGCATGCATCACGCATGCTCTCTCTGGACGGTTTCCCCCGGGGTCGTGGGCGACCCGAGGAGGGGAGGGCGAAGAGGAGGGCGAGGAGGAAGGAGGAGGAGAAGGAGGAGGCGGAGAGAAGAGGCGGAGAGGGGAGGAGGACGGGTCGCCTTAGCCCTTCGGAGATACCCTCCAGTTCTCTCGCGTCCGTGGTGCCAAGCAAATCTTGGCTGGCGGCGCAGAGTACACTGGCACGCGCCAGAGTGCGCAACGCCTCCCCACGTCCTGCCCGATACCTCTCTCCCCCCCCCCCTGGCGGAGGGAGAAGTACCTGCAGGATCCCACGGCGTCTTCCGATGCAGGCTGGCCGACGTTTCCCCGAGCTTGGACCCCTGCGGGGCCATGCCCGCGCCATGGGCCCCGCCAGAAACGAGGAGAGCAACTGCTAAGCGAGACGAACGTCCGCGGCGCGACTCCCACACGCGCCCCGTGCCCACAAGAAGCCCACCCGCGGCGAGTGAACATCGCGCGTCAGGCGGAGTCGAGGTACTCCGAGGCCACATGTGTGTTCACACACACACACACATATCGATGTACACAGTTATATCTATATATATATATACACAACTATAATATCATATGTCTGTCGGCGGTGCCCGGTGCAGAGCAACCCCCCACCCACCCCCCACCCCCACGGGACTTACGAACCCTCCCGGAACGTACCGCTGGTGCAGCACGGTACGAAACCCCCCACGATACCCCGAGATGCGAGCGTCGGGGAGCGTGCATGTGGGAGCTCCCGGGGAGCGCGTGCGAGCGTCCTGGGTGCTTAGGAGCGCTGGGGGGGGCGCCCTACGACGGTGGCGGCGCCGACGGCGGTGAAGGCGACGACGACGACGACGACGACGACGACGACGACGACGACGACGACGACGACGACGTATATCCAGAGATCCCCGGAGGCTTCCAAAGGTCCCCCGAAGGAGGAGTGAGCTTGAGCATGAACGCTCTGGAAGCTCCAGTCGATGCCAAGGCCAACCTGCAACGACACCAGGAGGAGGGAGAGAGAAGGGAGGAGACGGGACCGAGGCGCTGGCTGAACGAGGTACGGAGTTGTTTGAGACGTGCGTGGCCTTGTTCGGGACTCCCGGGGCACACTCGTCGCCACGGCTGGATCTGCTAGCTGCCACGAGGCGCGCGGCCAGGGGCGTGAGGGCAGGGTCGTCGGCGCACTCCGCCTGGAGTGCGGGTCGAAGCCTGGCGGCCTGAAAGCGCGGACGCGGAGAGAGACGCACAGAGACGCAGGCTGCAGGAAACCCATGGGCTCTCCTCCTTATCCCCATGTCTCTCAACCTGCCCCCAACCCAGCCCAACGCCTACGTGGAGGCGGACGAGGAGGAGGAGGAGGAGGAGGAAGAAGAAGAAGAGGATTCGGGAGGAGGGGAAAGAGGATCGGGAGGAGGAGGAGTTGGAGCTAACAGGTGATAGGCCCCGTGGCGCTGGCCTCGGGGGTGCCCCACGAGTCGTCCTCCTCGTCGTTCCTGGGCGTCGTCCTCGTCGTTCTCCGAAGTCGCCGTGGAAGTCCAAAAGGCGCCCGAAGCGTTCCCCCGCTTCTACAGAGCCCCCCTCCCCGCTCCCTCAGGGGCCCCCACCCGACTGCCGCAGGAAGGGGGGGGGAGGGGGGGGGGGAGGGGCGCGCCTGTGAGCCCAGTGCGAAGCCCCCCGGGAAGCAGGGGGGCCCGCCAGCGCGCCAGGTACGGAACCGCCCGGGAAGCCCCATGAAGGGGGGGTCGTGCGGTCGTGCCACCGCGCACCAACGGTGTGTGTGTGTAGATTCTATATATATGTATATATATATGAGTGTATATATATACATATATATGTGCATATGCTTGTGAACATACATGCATGCGCATAGGCATACGTAGATTTGTACTCGAACACAAGCATGCGTGCTTACTTACATACACACAGACATTCATGCATGCATGCATGCATGCATACAGACAGACAGACAGGCAGACATAAATGCATGCATACATTCATACATGCATACCTACACGCCTGTCTGCCTGCCTGCCTGTCTACCGACCTACCTACTTACCTACAGACACTCACGCACGCACGCACGCACGCACGCACGCACGCACGCACGCACGCATGCCGTGCATGCATACATACATACATGCATACAGACATACGGACATACAGACATACGGACATACAGACATACGGTCATGCAGGCATACAGACATACATACAGACATACAGACATGTGTGTGCTATTATGCAAGGTTGGGCGTCTCAACAACGTGATAGACAGTGACGCGCCTCCGTCCGGAGGTCTATATATATATATATACATATATATATGCATATACATGGAGATATAGACATATAAATATGTATATACATATATATACACGTAGATGCATGCATGCATGCATGCATGCATGCATGTATGCATGCATGCATACACACATACATTCATACAGACATACATGCATGTTACGGGGGTAAAACATCATAGTGTTGTTAGGGCTATAGGGCTATGGGGCTATAGGGCTATAGGGCTATACTCAGGAGGACGGGGGCGATGCTGATGCTTCTGACGGCGCAGGCGCCCTGCAGGTGGGCTGGCGCTGGAGGAACCTGGTCACGCAGGCAGCCGTCAGGCTGAGGCCCGCGGAGGTCGGTGCCCTGGACAAGGTCATGCACGACCTCCGTGAATCACGGAGAGCCACAGAGTACAGAGCGTGGCAGCAGCAGGCACGCGACGATTCCTTCATGTGCCGCCACATCGGCTACGACAGCCAGCGGCTGAAGGCGGCCATCGAGGTGTACAAGCGCGACCCCGCAGTGCTGCCCGTGCTGGCAGGAGCGACGATGTCGCCAGCAGCTTGGGCCTCGGCTCACGGGGAGGACATTCGATGTCCTGCGTGCGGAAGGCAGGGGCAGGGCCACCTCCTGCATCTGCTGTGGCAGTGCCCAGGGCTGGCAGGCAGGCCGCAGCAGCAGCCCGGCGACGCGCTGCAGGCGCGACTGGGCTGGCCAGTGCTGGAGGACGAGACCGGCGCAAGCCATGCCCTGATGGCCTGGCACAAGCAGGTGCGCCAGGCCATCCTGGACCACCGCTGGGGCGCCATCGCTGGCGCCGGAGGCGAAGGAAGAGGAGAGGGAGGAGGTGGAGGAGGGGGCGGCGCCGCTGCGGCCCAGGGAAGGCGGAGGCAATGCAGAGGAGAAAGTAGAGGAGGAGGAGGAGGAGGAGGAGGAGGAGGAGGAGGAGGAGGAGGAGGGAGGAGGAGGAGGAGGAGGAGGAGGAGGAGGAGGAGAAGGCGCCGCCGCCGCTGGTGCCCTGGGAAGCCGGAGGTAGAGCGGGGAGGTAGAGGAGGAGGTGGAGGAGGAGGGACCATCATCCCACTACGTGGCAAAGAAGCTGAATATCGTCCACATCAGCTTATTATTCTTATGCATGGCAAAGGGGCTGACCACCATCATCTGCGTTGGCTCTGTCTTAATACATTTCTCAGGCAAGGACTGGAGTTCGATCCTCATCTTCAGCTGTATATATAAATCTATACATACTAGAACCACGCGCGCTTCGCGCGCGCTTAGGTTCTGTCGAGTCACAGACCCAGGAATCCTCCTCCTCCTCCTCCTCCTCCTCCTCCTCCTCGTCTTCCTCCTCATCCTCGTCCTTTCCCGAGCGATACAATAACAACTTGTGTGGAACCCCTCTCGGGCCCATCTTGGGGCTCTCTTGGGCCGCCTTTGGAGCCTCTTGGGGCGCCCT